CTTAATATTAGTGAACGTGACGAAGAAAACATTTTGAACGTGGAAAGTGCTCTGTTTGGTCTAAAACGTAAAGTTTCAACAAACCAGTTGTCCATTAAAGACTTTTTTGGTAAAAAGAAGTAACTTTGAAAGAGAAACATTGTTTTTTTTAAATTTTTAATGCTTTCCCGCATTCATCGTTTTTATTTCCCACCCCCGCCGAAAACGATGCATCGAGGTTTCACTGTATCTATTTATTCAAGTATGGTTATGACAAGAAGGGGAGAAAAGTGCCAGAGGAAATGTGAGATTTTCAAGAAAAATTTACTCTTGAGCACTTCTCTGTGAAGTTTAGACAAAAGGCACTTTGTTTAATTTGAAACAGATGGCTGCAGTGAAGAAAGATTATAATCTTAAGAGGCATTAAGGTACAAAACACTCTTCAGAATATAATGAAATGGAAATATATTTTTGGAGCAATAAATTACAACAATTATAAAGCCAACTCTTTTGTTAGAAATTTAATTTGTTGAAGGAAATCATACAAGCAGAAAACAGTGTTAAAGTTAGTTATCTTATTGTGAAAAAAGTTTGCTGATGTAGAATTCGTAAAGAAGTGTTTTCAGTTCACTGTCGATATTATTTGTCCAGGTCAGAAGCAAGCAGACTGAAACACTGGCTTATCAAAAGACACGGAAGAAGGGCAACTAGAAGAGTTGAAAAGTATTTTCAGCACCTTATGTACCTTAAAGAAGGATTACTTAAGATACATTAGGTACTGAAAATGCTGTTACGCCAACTAACTAACTAACTAGATGGCTTACCGAACCCGAAGGTTCATCACCGAATTATCCAAAGCCCTCCACCAGACCCTGTCCTGGGCCAACAAAATCCAGTCTCCTTCAACTCCTATCTCCCATAGATCCCGCCTGAGATTATCCTCCCATCTACGTCTAGGTCTCCCCAGCGGTCTCTTCCCCTCAGCCTCCCCAACCAGTACCCGGTGCACACCTCTAGTCCCATCCATGCGCGCTACATGCCCTGCCCATCTCATTCTTATCGACTTAATCACCCTGACAATATTGGGGGAGGAATACAAATTTTTAAGCTCATCATTATGCAGTTTTCTCCACGCCCCATTGTCTTCTCTCTTAGGCCCAAATAACCTCCTCAGCACCCGATTCTCAAACACCTGCAATCTGTGTTCCTCCCTCTGAGTGAGAGACCATGTTTCGCACCCATACAAAACAACAGGCAAGATTATTGTTTTGTATACTTTAATGTTCAGGTTCTTAGAAATCAGACGGGAAGACGAAATATTCTGAACTGAGAAGTAGCAAGCATTTCCGGAATTTAGTCTCCTCCTAACTTCCTCACAAGTATCATTTTGATTTGTTATTGTTGTTCCCAAATATTTGAACTTTGTAACCCTTTAAAAGGATTTATTAGCTCCCCTAAGATAATTTTGCCCGCCTGTCTTCTGATGACGAGATACTAACAGGTACTTAGTTTTTTCTGAATTTACTTCCAGCCCCAC